CTGAAAAGTCTAAAACAATTAAAAATAAATTGGCTGATAAGCTAAGCCAACTTCTATTTGAGAACCAGAACCCTGTTTGATCCCAGCATGATTTTATTTTCTCCAAACACTTGATGAGTAATGTCAACATCGATTCCTAGCTTTTTTCTTCTCTAGACGTGTTCTCTGTGTTATTGAGAACTTACACTTCCATAACTTACGAATCCTAGTTCTTTTCATGTCTCTGATCTCTGGCATAGCAAGTGGAATTGCTGAGCCAGCCGTGGTTTCTGGACTCCCCTCCATGAGGCCACAGAGGAAAGAGAAGAACTACCCTGGAGTAAAGGAAGGAGCTCTGTGCCACAAAGTTGCACGTTATTATAAACCCCTCTTCTGTAAGTTTTCAACATCGTCTTTTGAAGGTTTCTCCCATCTCTATTTGGGAATTCCTCTTCAATTTCATAGTGGAAGTTGATGAGACAACGGATTTACCCAAAGATAATTTTCTGGAAACACATGGATTCTGAAAAGCAAGATTAAAAAATTCTAAAGTTGGATGTTTATAGTCAGTAAAAATTCTTAAAATTGTTACGGTAGGTTATACTAGTTATTTATCAAACGGTAAGCAGAAAACGGAACCGCCCAACATCGTGGCGTGTTTCTTTGTGGATTTCCTGGATTTCCAAGGGCCCCTGAATTCCTAAAGGTGGAGGGTTAATGCCCAGTATATACCGGGAAAATTCAAGATAAAAAGATAGCAAATAGATTACAAAATTAATTAATTAACCATTAATTAATTTTGAAAAACAACCAAAAACCATTCACTGATTTTGGTTGTTTTTCAAGCCTGGAGCTGCCCCAGAATTTCAGCTTGAGAAAATACAACCTGGGTTGCCTCAGCACTTAATCCCAGATGAAGTCCTTCAAAGTGGAAAATTTCACTGTGCTTCTTTTTTTTCCAGATGTAAATATATAGCAATAATGCGGTTATAAAACTGGCATTGTATTAAACCATAAATTATATTTGACACATAATAATGTTGAATTACTGTGGAAGTCCATCAATGTGCAGTGGCATTACCAACAAACAGGTCATTGCTGCCTGCACCAGCCCTGTGACTTGAAATGCAATGAATAAACTTGCTAGGATTTTGCTGTCAGGGTCAAAACGGAATAAACTCTAGCTGAGAACAGATACATCAGAGTCAGGCTAAGATGCGGGGACCGCAGAACATATTGATTCATTCCTTTGCTTAGTCATTCAATACATATTTACTGACGACTTACTTTGTGCAGGGCTAGGCTCTGGTGGTAGATAGGAGAGACCTGGTGTCTGCCCTCAAGCAGAAAACACAAGAATTTAAGAATTTTGGGCTGGGCACAGTGGCTCACGCCTGTAATCCCAGCACTTTGGGAGCTTGAGGTCGGTGGATCAAGAGATCAGGAGTTGGAGACCTGCCTGGCCAACATGGTGAAACCTTGTCTCTACTAAAAATACAAAAATTAGCCGGGCATGGTGTCACATGCCTATAATCCCAGCTACTTTGGAGGCTGGGGCAGGAGAATTGATTGAACCCAGGAGGTGGAAGTTGCAGTGAGCTGAGATTGCGCCATTGCATTTCAGCTCTGGGTGACAGAGCAAGACTCCATCTCAGAAAGAAAAAAAAAAAAAAGAGAATTTCATGTACAAATTGTTATTTAATTACAGTGAATTCATGTACTGATTTCTTGAAGGTTTGGTCTCTTCTCACTGTTTATCAAGGTCAATGGAAAAGTCAGATTTCAAAGCCTATATGAAATGGAGAAATTAATTAACCAGAGGATTGACCTAGATTTCAAGCACTGGAACCTTGTCTGCGGAGCCTTACATAGGGCCAGGTTAAAGAATCTGAATTGATCCATAGGTTCAAGGGGTCAAGATGAGACTAGTTAAGAGATGCTTCTAGACCAAGGACTTTAAACCAGTTTATAACAGTAGGAGAGTCCATATGTCAACCTTCTGCTTTTTTTTTTTTTTTGAGACGGAGTTTCGCTCTTGTGACCCAGGCTGGAGTGCAATGGCGCGATCTCGGCTCAGCGCAACCTCCGCCTCCTGGGTTCAGGCAATTCTCCTGCCTCAGCCTCCCGAGTAGCTGGGATTACAGGCACACGCCACTGTGCCCAGCTAATTTTTTGTAATTTTAGTAGAGACGGGGTTTCACCATGTTGACCAGGATGGTCTCGATCTGTTGACCTCGTGATCCACCCGCCTCGGCCTCCCAAAGTGCTGGGATTGCTGATACCCTATTGTCAACGCCAATGCCTTGCTTGGGGTAAGCACTCAACAAGTAATAAATGGCTTTTGGAAGGATGAATGAACTGAAAGCACAATAACATGAGAGCATGGAATATGACTGTTATTACCACAAGAGTCACTGTGGGGGCTTAATCTGCATGGTGAGATTATCCAGACAAGTTTATGTAAGCCTGTCACAGGGCCTCCTGGAGGAAGGGGTACAGAAATTTCAGAGCCAACATCTAGATTTCCTAAATTAATACCAGTTAGAAAAAGAGAACCAAAGTCCCCAAACTCCCAGGGATGAGTTAAGTGAAGGGATGGACATTCACTCTGGGGTCGAAGAAGAGGGAAGAAGTCTCAGTGGAGAGGCAGGGGGTGAATTTTTTAAGCTTTTCCTTCCTAGGAAACACAGTCCATGTTTCTTCTAGAAAGAAAACTGTGACATAGAAGGACCTAGACTGCCTTTTGGAAGAGAAAATAAATATTAGTAATCTGAGAGGAAACTCCCTTCTCCTTGGCCATCTCTTTAAAAGTGGAGCATTGTTCCTGTGTTGGTTTGCGAAGGATAATGCTCTCACTTAGAAGTGGGAGCTAAATCATGAGAACACATGGACACATTGAGGGGAACAACACACACTGGGGCCTGTTGGAGGGTGGAGGGTGGGAAGAAGGAGAGGAACAGAAAAAATAACTAATGGGTACTAGGCTTAGTACCTGGGTGATGAAATAATCTGTTCGATACACCACCATGGCACAAGTTGACTTATATAACAAAGCTGCACATGTACCTCTGAACTTAAAAGTTAAAAATATAGATAAAAATACTTAGCTAGAGCACACTACAGAGCATTTCACCATTCTGTGCACTGCGTTTTCACCATCTCCCATCTCATTTCGTTCCTTGAGTTTGGAAATCTTGTCTCCCTCCCTACATTTCAAACAGTTGCTTGTCATGCCAGCTTATTTTACAAAGAAGAAAATTAAAGCCAAGCATCCATAAGAACATAGTTCCATGAAACAAAGAAAATGCTATTATTTTTTGTTTGTTTTTTTTTTTTTTAAAAAGCAGAAAACTGAAGTAGTAATTAAGGAACATTAGTCTTAAAGTCCTTGAGAGAAGTACTGCAGAGGCACACATGGGCTTGAAGGCTTTGGTGGAAACTCTGCACATCAGCTCTGTCCAAAGTGCTGGGGAAACAGAACTGGATGAGGCACAGTGGTCCTTGCCCTCTGCCGTGGCCCTGATATTGAGAGAGGAGACTTCTCTTGACCTCTTCAGGGGACTTGTGACAGGGAGGTGGCTCGCTTACTCAGCTGCTGCTGCTGCTGCTATGCTCAAACTTTTTGCAGAAAGGGGAGCATGCAGGTGAGCAGGTGCCAGGGCCAGAGTGAGTATTTTTGGGATCCAGCTCCACAGCAGCATCTAGGGGTATGTTACAATTCATGCTCTTTTAGCAGTTACTGTCTGTGCACAGCTAAATGTTAAGCAGCTCAGTGGAGAGTCAGGGTCACTTTTTACACCCTGCCCTCTTCTTGTTTTGCATCAGGAAGAATCAGGTTACACAATGTTTGAACGGTGGTGAATGCAAAGGATTTTATTAAGCAGTAGAAGTGGCTCTCAGCAGAAGAGGAGCTGAAAAGGGGATGGTGTGGGAAGAAGGTGATCTTTCCCTGAAGCTCAGTCTTCTCCTCCCTGAAGTCATGCTGTCTGAAGTTAAGCTGTGTCTACATGTAGTCTCTGATGCTCAGTTGCTCCTTCTCCTCTAGACCTTCAGCCACATGTCTCTTTGCTACCTGAGGTCTGGCGTTTATATGGACACAGGATAGGGGGTTGGAGTGGGCCAAAAAAGGCAACATTTGGGTAGGAAAACAGGGATAACTGTTCTCATTGAGGGCTGTGATTTCCAGGCTTGAGGTTTGGGGTTTTGCCAGGGAACGACCTTCTCCTACCCAGTTTTTCCCCTGTCTCCTGTCTGTGTCAGTATCATCAGGCTGTGCTCAGAGTATTATGGAATGAGCTGTCCCTCATTCAATATGGTGAGTGGGCAGCAGGAGGAACGTTTATGGAAAGCTTCCAAAAGAGGTGATGGACAGGAATGAAATAATAAGTAGGTGCTATCTGAAGAGGAGACACTTTAAGCAGGAAGTTTAGATTTTTTAAAAAAAGAAAAGGATGCTCATAGCAGCATCATTCACAATAGCTGAACTGTGGAAGCAATCTAAGTGTCCACTGATGGATGATTGGAGAAGGAGAATGTTGTTTATCCCTACAATGGAATGTAATGCAGCTTTAAAAATGAATGAAATTCTGACATGTGTTACAACATGGATGAACCTCTAGGACATTATGCTAAGACAAATAAGCCAGATACGAAAGAAACAGGAACTGTATGATTCCACCTACACGGGGCTATTTACAATAGTCAAATTCATAGAGACAGAGAGTAGAATGAAGGTTGACAGAAGCTAGGGGGAGTGGGGAATGGGAAGTTACTTCTTAGTCGATATAGAATTTCAGTTTTACAAAATGAAGAGTTCAGAGTTCCAGAGCCTGGTTGCCCAACAATGTGAATGCATTTAATACCACCGAACTGCAGGCTTACAAATGGCTAGGATGGTGCAGTTTATGTTATGTGTATTTCAATGAAAATTTGGAAGAAAATACGAAAAAGGAGGAATGAGTGAGAACCAGTATGGTTTGTGGGAGGAATGTTAAGCAGGTGCTGCTGCTGAGAGTAAAATGGGAAGCAGAAAGAGAGAGAGTGAGGCTGAGGGGAGAACAGAGACCAGGTTTATTCAGTCTGGAGATGTTCTTTCAGGCCATGTGTTCTTCTAGGAAAGGGAGATACTGTGGAGCTTAGAGGCTTGACCCCGGCCCTTAGGTCTTTGGGTCTTCTCGTTGAGGCAAGAAGGAGCCATTGATGGTGTTAAGCAGGAAAAGCAGCAAGATCCGATTTGCATTTTAGGATTATTCCTCTGGCTGAATGCAAATGAGTTGGAGGGGGCGACATGGAGGAGGGAGGCAGAGTCACTGGTAATCAAAAAGTAGATGATAAAGGCCTGAACAGGGAGGAAGATCTCCACACAGCCCTGGTTTCCCAAGGTGAGCTGGATCTGGGATGCAGGGAGGTTGGGGCGACTGTGGGTGGAGGGCTGAAGTCCCATCCTTTGGTTCTGTAGGAGCAATAATCAGGTGTGCTGTGGAAAAGGGAAAACATTTATCTGCCCCATCTCCTTGGCAGTGCTTTCTTGCAGTGAAAATTGTGAAGTCGATAAGTGGGAGGTGTGATTGATTTCACCTGGAACTCCCCAAACCGAGGGTGGTCAAGGCAGCTCTGCAGACCACAAGCTGGCTACAGGAGATGAGAACACCAACCCCGATTTGGGAGGCAGGACATTCCTAATTGAACTGTTGAGGGAATTTTGATAAATGACCCCGCCAAAGCAGTGAAATTAATAAATCATGCTTGAGGCTGAAAGACTGTTTCCTGAAGGACGGCAGCAGTGCTCAAATCCTGGTGGTTTGGAAGGGGCTGGAGCAGAAGGCAGAAAACTCACGGTGTTTCTGGGCTCTCTGGGAGGGCCGGAGGAGCCGTAACCCCAGTTAGTGTGGCCACCATGCAGTTCTTTTCAAAAGTGGAATAAAGTTGTATTCCGTGCGTGAGGACGAAGCGCCACTGCTTCCTAAAACCGAAGGTTAAAGACATCTTTTTCAGACTTAGCAATGGGTGAATGGGTTCTGATAGAGACGACGGCAGCCTGCATCATTGCTCAAATCATACTCTGAAGGGGAAATGAGGGGCAGGGCACTTTGCTGTCTGCAGTGATGTCTTTTTCTTTTAAGGGTTAGCACCACGAAGATCATTGTCTTTTCAAATATCCTCCCCACAGGTTCCTGAGCTCTGAGTTGGTGCACTCTGTCCCACTGAGTCGAAATCATGTGCAACGAAAAATTCAGGTTCAGCATGGCACATGGCCTTTCATAGCCCTCAGGGACCCTTTCCAGCCTCATACTCTTAGTATCTCTTTGTGCAGAGAAGAAGACAAAGTCTCTGAGAAACCGAAGTGGAATGTAATCCTCATAAGGTTGGCATCATCATTCCCCTTTAACAAATAAGGAAACTGAGGCCAAGAGAGGTTAGTTAACTTGCCCCATGTGGATTTGAAATGTTAAGCAGGGTAGGGAATAATAGCTTTTGGCACTTTCAAATTGATGATGCTTGAAGGCCAGGAGTCTTCGACATACTTCTTGTCAATCACTCTGGAGAGAAAACTGTCTCTTTCACAAGCAAATAGCAATGTCCTTGCTCATCATTTTTTGGTAAAACCATCCAGATCCCACAGCAGACCACTCAGTGACTTATGCCTGTAATCCTAGCACTTTAGAAGGCTTGAGGTCAGGAGTTTGAGTCTAACCTGGCCAACGTGGTGAAATCCCATGTCTACCAAAAAGACAAAAATTAGCCAGGCATGGTGACGGATGCCTGTAATCCCAGCTACTTGGGAGGCTGAGGCATGAGAATCACTTGAACCTGGGTGGCAGAGGTTTCAGTGAGCTGAGATTGGGCCACTGCACTCCAGCCCGGGTGATACAGTGAGACTGAGACTCTGTCTCGGGGGGGAAAAAAAAAATGCCAGAGCAAAGCAAATTTTGAAAGGAGTTATGAGCTTAAAAAAATAAGCATGATATTTACTTACAAAAACTTCTTGATGTCTCTGGTTTGAGGGCAGGAAGCACCTAGGAGTTGGATTAACTGCCCTTCCCTTAAGAAAAGAATTTCTGTTTATGCCAAGATGAGAAGGGGGTGGAGAGAGGAAGTTGGTGGGTGGACACAGTGAGGTGTTGGAGGGTCTGCTTATTATCGCAAACAGAAATGGTGGTTAACAGACCTTCCTTGTGTTTCTCCCAAGTCTTCCATAACTTACAACAGTAACTAGCATGGGCTGCTGCTAGTGTGCTGGCCTCTTGTGTTAGCCACAAGAGAGGCTGACATTTGTGCAGGATGGGAACAGAGTACATTAGTTTGCAATTCTTCAAGGTCATGCATGAGAGAAACAGAGAAAAGCACCAAGAAATGAGCTCTGGGACTCTCAGAAACCCAGCGGGGAGAACTTTGGGTCATAATAGGTTATGATGTTGGAAATCCATTCATATGTAAACAAATCCCCGAGGGATTGTTGAAGAGAGGCTGGAATGTTGGAGTTACAGAAAGTATTAAGTTCATTATTATTTCAAAGCCTGGTAGCGAGGTGTCATGGTTAATTTTTTTGTGTCACCTTGATGTGGCTAAGGAATACCTAGATATCTGGCAAAACATTATTTCTTGGCATGTCTGTGAGGTATTTCCAGAAGGGATTAGCATGTGAATCAGCAGACTGAGTAAAGAGCTCTTCTTCACCAATGTGAGTGAGCTTCATTCAATCTGTCGAGGGTCCGAATAGAACAAAAAAGGGAAGAAGGGTGAATTCGCTGTTTTTGTGAGCTAGGACGTCCATCTTCTTCTGCCCTTGGATATCGGACCTCCGGATTCAGACTGACTTTGACCATCAGTTTTCCTGGTTCTCTGGCTGGCAGATAGCAATTTTGGGACTTCTCGACCTCCATAATTGCATGAGCCAATTTCCCCATAATCAATCCCCTCTTCCTATTGATTCTGTTTTTCTGGAGAGCTATGACTAAAACAAGTGACAGATTACGTATAATGAAGGTTCTAATAGAAAGAATAAATAAGACCTACTACTTGATGGCACGCAGGGTGATGATAGTCAATGATAACTTAATTGCACGTTTTAAAATGACTTTAAAAAGTGTAATTGGATTGTCACACAAAGCATCAGTGTTTGAGGGTGTGGATGTGAATGCCCCATTCTCCATATTGTGCTTACTTCACATTGCATGCTTGTATCAAAACATCTAACGTATCCCAAAAATGTATACACCTACTATGTACCCACAAAAATTAAAAGTTAAAAAATAAAACAACAATGAGGGGTCTGACTCCATCTGGGTGTAAAGGTCAGAAGAGGTTTTCTGATAAATGTACTGTTAGCCAAAATGAAGTGTACGAGTAAGAGTTAGGTAAGGGTGAACAGGGCTGGGAAGAGGTAATATAAGGAAAAGAAGTGCAGATGTAGCATGCAGAGGAGAAATGGCCATTCTGGGAACTTTGAACACAAACACAGAACCATATAGCTTGCCTTTCAGCCCATGTTCCCCTCCTCCCATTTTACAAATCAGATTATATGTAAGGACAGATACACTGGGGCTCAAGATAGGGGAGGATGTCTGCTATCAATTAGCTATTCCAAGCTTAAGGGTACCAAGAGGTAGATAATTTAGTGTAACAGTGAAGGCTAAATCCTGTGTATGTATTAAGCCTATGAATATATATTCACGAATTACACTTTCAGAATTCTCTGTAGCCTTGGAAAAGAATAAGTATAGTACCTGAACAGTATATTGTCATATTTAAGATCTAGTGCGTAGTTTGGTTCCTAATTTCTTTTGCTTGGGTAGGAATACTTAATTCTCAAAGGGACACTAGGATGAAATAATAATTTGTTGGTTACATCCATGAAACAGCTCACAAAGCATTCTCTTGGAAGATGTTCCTGACAGTCTGGTGAGGTAAGGAATTCATTAATGCCCATCTTCATTTACTTACTCATTTGAGTGCTTACTACATGCCAAGCATAATTTTAAGTTCTGATATTAGGGTACATATAACGCAAAGGTCCGTGTCCTTGTGGAACTAAAATTCTAGGTGGGGCAGACAATGAAAACAAACAAGCAAGTAAATGGGGTAACTCCCAACAGGTAATAATACTGACGGTATGAGGGGATCGCTGGCCAGCGGAAAAGTAGATGACTGATGGGAGGTAGTGAGGGCTTCTCTGAGGAGGTGAAATTTGAGCTGATACTTGAAAGATGAGAAAGACCCAGCCATGGGAGGCTAGAAGGACCTGGATTGATCCAGTAATCCTGTTCCAGGCAGAGATAACATAGATGGGAACTCTCAGGGAGGTTACGTGACTCACCCAAGGTCACACAGTGGAGTGAAGGATCTGCCTAGAGATTCTACAGTGAGCCTTTGACCCTAAGTCAGGGACTGATTCCATCTCTTATCTTTCCAGTGCTTGTTTCCCGGTGCTGTCTGGTCAAATCCTGATATTGTAGGATTATAGGGTAGTATCCCATGTATTCTGTCTTTTATTACTGAAACTTCAGTGCTTGTTACTTCATGTAGAGCAATGAATAGATCACATAGAGCTTCTTGAATGATAAAGTTATGGGAACTCAAGGAGATAAGGTGTCAAGAAGATAACAATTTGGTTCAGAACGTGTTACAGATTCCCAAGACCTTCAAGAGTTTTCTTCAGGGGACTCTATCAGCACGAAAAATCCCCCTGTTTCATTCTCAGAAAGTTTACTTTTATTCTTCTCCTTCCCCAACTCCATACAAATTTTTGGATATTCTGGATACCTTTCTGTTGTAAATATCTAATGTAACAAGGTCCCCACACATTCTGGAGTGTTCTCTGGGAGATCAGGGGATGCGAAGGCAATTTTTCTCATAGTGCCTTTCATCACCGCTCAGTAAATGTTCTGCAGAGGGCTGAATCTAAAATATTTCCAGCTTCGCATGCCATTTGGTTTTTGTAGCAAGCACTCAACCTTGACATTGTAGTGGGAAAGCAGCCATAAACAATTTATAAGTGGATGGGTGTGGCTGTGTTCCAATAAAATTTTATTTACGAAACAGGTGGCAGGCTGGGCAATTGACCTCTGCCCTTAGTAATGATCACAATAACCCTATGGGACCGGCATGGATGAGGACACTGAGTAGTTAGGAGCTTGAAACATGCACAAAAGATTTGATCATCTGTGATAATACTAGAAAGAGTGTCGAATTAGGAATCAGGAGACCAGCTTCCAGAGTCTTCTCTGCCATTATTTTATTTCATGGCCTTCACCTCTTTGGTTCAATCTGATCCAATGGCACCAGGGGAGCTGTATTAGCTGAATTCTAGTGACTGCAGTTCACAATACTTTATTGCATGCTTGAAATTTGCAAAAAGGGTAGATCTTAAGAGAGAGAGAGA